TTTTTGGAAACAACTGAATTCAGGTTTGATTACAAGTCAGAAAGATGCTAAAAGAACTCATGACGTCTTGAGAAATCTAGGAAGTGCCATCAATACTGTTTTTACTTGTCTATCTTTACTTATCTCAACCAGTATTATTTTTGAGCTGAACCAAGGTTAAAAATGTAATTATGCTAAAGATTTCGAAGTTATTGAACATTTGTAGGGTCCACTATCATTTTCCCCTTTCCATTTGGCTGGTGATAAGCTTATTAAGAACAATTACTGTAGTTTGGTGATTCAACTGGTGGCTGGTCAGAAGTGATTGCCATGACTCACCTGTAAACTTCTTCTGACATTTTCCTCCAATTTTACTTGGATATGATATGACGAAGAGGAAACAACAAAGCTAAAATAAAACAGAAGGTAGCTGGCTCTTCTAGTGTCCAAATCTGCACAATGTCTCTGTGGGTTTCTGAGAATATTTGCTTCCATATTACCTCAAAAGTCAAAAATTGAGTTACGCACGTTGACTACATGGAACCAGTAGCAGTATTACAGGTTCCTAAAAAACATACAATAAATGTCTGTATTTCAATTGGAAATATTAAATGTTGAAAATGGTATTTTCTTTATAAGCTAAGAGTTCTATTTTGCAAAACAACCATGTATTTTTTTTCCCCTCTATTTTGGTTTGCTTTTACATCAAGGCCTTTATCAGAGCTTTTGATGTATCAGTATATAGAATGTTTAAATAAGCGAGTGGGTTGTTTGAAAAACATGTCAAGACTGGACAAAAAGGTGGGTGAATTTGGAAATGTCTTCTTAGGAAAATCATTGTTCATGCTGGCATCACAAATTGTCATGTTCCTAATATATAGCTATATACAGACACAGGGCCCAAATATATCAATTTTTGAACTATATGCTTTATGTTTTAAGGTGTCATTCCTAACAACAGTTATTATCATAAAGACAAAACATATGATTCCATCCTTGCCCTCGCAAGTGTGTCTTGTTTACAGAGTTAGTATTTTCTAAGACAAGATCTATTGAAACATATTGTTTATTCCTGCTTGCTAGTAGAAGGTTATTTCTTTCAGGAGATACATTAATAGATAGTTTTATGTATAATTATGACAAATAACACAGAGGGTTGATTACCTAAGATAATGCTTATTAAAATGTGAGACCTTTAGATGCAGTCTGGGGGATCCATTTAAAAATAGGACTATATTTATTAGAACTCTATAACCTTAAATTTGTAAGGAACTCGAAGTTGTCTTTGAAGCAGAGTGATTTAAATATTGGATATATTTGAATATAGCAATAAGTGTAGAAGCCCAAATATATGCTTCAGTTGTTCACTCAATTAATATCTAAACTTTAAAACAAACAGGTTACAAAGATACATAGACAAATTAGAGTTATTTTGTAAAGAAAAGAGAAATCCGAGTGACATTAATTGATCTCAAATAAACTGGTGATATAAGTAGTTTCTTCTTCCATTAAGGAAATGAAGAATACCATATCATTTGTCATCCAAACTGGGATATGTTTGAAAGTGAAATAGGCCTATTAGTAAACAAACAGGCATAAAGGCATAAAGTCAAAATAAGTATAAATCAGGGTATGTAGTTACCCGAAGAATTATTTCCTCATTTATTAATTCAACAGACACTTTGCTAAGTAATTAGGTAAAAAAAATGAAGAAGATAAATTCCTGTCCTCAAGATTAAGACCGTGTGGGTGAAACATGTATGCTTTTATTAGGAACTAAGATAGCTTTTACTAGGAACCAAGATAAAACTCTTTGTAAGGAGCACAAAAGAAAGATTTCTATCTCTTAAACATGATGGGAAAAGATACTGTTAAGCCATTAAAAATCCATAGAGTTGAGAATAACACTCTTACTCCCGTTTGACCGCTGGGGAAACTGAGGCTCATGCTACTCAGCAGGCTAATAGCAGCTTTGAGGCTAAAGCATACGGCTCCTTGAGTCCCATCTATAATTCTTCATTGCACTGTTATTCTTATGGGAATTGCCAGAAAGAAAAGATATGAAATTTGGTTTACATTTTTCTGGATACGAAGGATAGCATGAAACTTATTTGTGATTTATTTTCCTTGCAATGAGAGAGAAGGACTAAATGGCCACACTTAGTCACTTGTAACCTGCTTTCTAAAGCTTTGAGATATCATTTTTTTTTCCTTTGGAAGATGCTAACACAAATTTTTCTTGTGAGTCGAATCTCATGACAAGGGGAATTGCAATTTGCATACTGCATTACACTGAGTAACTGAGTCTTTCACTATACTGCATTAGAAGTCGAATTTTATTATATGCAAGTATAGCAAGAGCAGATTCAACTGTGTATACTTAACTGAAGTCCGTTATGAAAATATTTCTCGGAATGTGTTTTATTATATCTTAGAAACCTACTTGCTAGCAGGATGTTGTGCTAGCCCATAATATCTGCGGTGAGCATGCCATCGTGTAGGAATACACTCACTTAGGCACACATAAAGTCGTCAAGTTATTCTGCTATTCATTATTTATCCATTGCTACTCATTTCATTATTTGTTTAGTTAACTCTTTTTTTCAACTCAATTCATAATATAACCATTAAATCAATCAAACCGACACTAATACCTGAACCCTGTTTTTAGTATCACTTCTTGTTGTGATTTTAGTATAAAAATATTAAGTCTTGGAGATGGCTTATCAGTTCAGTGTGTTTATTTGGAAGATAAAATTTTGAAAATAAAAAAAATGGTAATTATAAAAAAGTAATAAAATGTACTCTGTTTGAAGTGGAAAGCGCAGCACTTAGACAAGACAATCGCCTACGTTCTGTGACAGGTGGATATTACATTAGATAAAAATGATAAGATTTAGTAGAATGAAGAATAACTTCCCCTTGACAGTGCCCTGACCCTTGACCTGTGGCCTGACCCTGTTGGCTTCACTAACACAGGGCAATTGTCACAGGTGTAGGATAAAAGACATTTCTGTAGAAGCTACCAACAGTTAGAGATTTATTTCTTTTGATGATCACTAATGTGCTGCTGGGATAAAACTGTAAATTCTGACCTTCTCTAAACTATAAGGACATAAAAATTTACTCGCAAGAAAGCAAAATTCTAAATACAAAGAGCTTTCTTTATTGTTTGGCTGGAAGAGCACTATGTAACAGAGAAGGTACATGCATTGGGGCAAAATGATGGCACTTGTTATTGTCATTACCCTGAAAACATGTTTCAAACATAATTGTGACACAGATCTAATAAAGAATACTCCATTTATCCCTGCATTTTTATCGTTATTAGTAAACTCTTACCATGTCATACCCTGGAAGTTTGTCCTATTCTGAAATGATTCTTTTGATTTATATGGTAATCACCATTTAAAAAATCAGTTCTTTGACTTTTATTTAAATTTTCTGAAAGTGGTAGCTTTGAGAGTACTTACGGATGATGTGGTAACAATTGTGATTTCTCATGAAAGTTAATGCCTCCTGCTGTAAGGAAATTTATTGTATACTCCTTTTTAAGTAACACAAGCAAGAAATTCAGAAAATACAGTGAAGCACAATGAGTGATGCGAATCCATGTTACAAGAGAAGAATATTGCAAGGGAAAAACAAATGACTGTGACATCCATTAAAGTGGGTAAATCCATGATTGAAAAGGAAAAAATACCTGCAGAAGAATGAATTTTACAGGTAAAATGAAAATGACTTCACAATTCATTAAAATAAAGCCAAAGCAGCAACCTGATAGTGTTTCCCAATGTTTTATCATGAAGGAAATGGAGTCAAGTTTTTGAACACTTGACACGATAAAGTGATGTATTTCACTATTCTTTTTAGGGGTCGAGGGGGATGTAACACAAGAATCATCCAAATGTTTGTCACTTAATGTGAAAAAACCATAACAATTTCCTTGCCATAATAGATTTCCAGGACCCAGTTGCTATTCAAAACTGTGTGAAAGGCATAAATTACTTTTAAATTCATTGAGGGTTATTATTCAGGTCATAGGTCTTGCCCTTCAACATTTTTTATCCACGGCATGCTTTGATGACACAAAACTGGTATATGTAAGCTTTAGGATACTCAGTCAAGGAAAATACAAAGATTATGTTTATCGTAAAGTGATTCTATAGGTAAACTACTTCAACTGGTTTAGTAAAGGTGTAGCTAAATCCATTTGTTTCCAAAATATCACACTTTCTTTTTATTAAATCATGAAAATAAGGGATTATAATCATGTAACTTATTGTCATGCATACTTGCTATAATAATGCCTTCTTCCCAGACTACCATCGTTGCAAATGTGATGAGATCATCAGGTAACAGTGTAGGATATGAAGGCTTAGCGTGCTGTGTTGTTAGCACATTAAAAAAAGAAATTGCTGGGATAATTAACAACTACCTATTTGTCTGTGGGATGCATTCATTATGGCTCTACAAATTGGAGGTCTCCAAAATCTGTGCAATAAAATTTACTCTTTGTTCAGGAAGTTCCCCTTGGATTTGGGGAAAATTCTGGTTTGCTGTGTCTATTGTAATTGTGACAGGCAGTTGACATGTCTCATAGTCTAAATGTAGTGGCAAGCAGGGGGTGGTACAATGATGAAAAAACTGCCATTCATTCTTGTGCAAAGGAAAGGTGTTTCTTAGCATATTCCAACCTATGTTCAGACTGGAGTTGGGTCTTTGGGGTTGAAGGTCAAATCTGTGAGGTCAAAGCTATTTCTTGTCAATCTTCGTTCACTAATGACACATGAATTGGAAATTAGAACAAAGTAAGTAAAACGAATAGCCAGAAGGTGAGTGTCTGTTTTATTACTCAGAAGAGCTGGGAAATCTGGCCAATTGTTGCCCTATGTGGCTTGAATGACAGTTGTTAAGTTGAAAAAGGGACAGTGTGATGGGAATGCCACTTTAAATCTCAATTACCTCCTCCACTCCAATCAGCTTGGTAGAGCTTTAATGAAGTGCAATTCTCTGTCCTTTTCCTCATACTTCTATCTCTAGAATAAGCCTCACATTCAAGTTTGACAGCAGTACAATCAGTTTTCCATTCATCACTGGCCCTGTTTTAACCCTGCTGAAAAAGGGCCTAATGTACGTGGCAGTGATGGCAATTAGGCAGAAAAGTAATATTAGAAACAGACAAAAGCCTGAGTCTTTTAGCATTACAGGTGTTTTTTTTTTTTTTTTTTTTTTTTTCAGCCTGTTCTAGACATAAAGGAATAGGCAGTGTTGTTAAGTTCCCTTCTTCAGTCTTCTCTTAAGCTGAAAGTCCAACGATTTCAAGATTCAATTAATTAGAGACATGGAGAGCCAAAGTACAAGGTAAAAGCTAAGTTCTTTCTAACTGAAGACACACTTAGTAATTGGCCCCTTATTCAAATGGATATCTTCTGGGTGTATGTTTAATAAGGTTGATAAAAACTCGTCATTTCCTCATTAGGATAGCACATGAATACACTCTGTATGTAGAAAAGAAATCTTAAAGAGAACAAACAGGAAAATATCAATCTGTTAAATATAGGAATGTAAAACATAAAAATTCAAAAGCCTGAGAACTATAACTTTGCAGGATGGTGCGGGGCGGGGGGTGGGTATGTTAAATGCATTGTGTGTGTGTGTCTGCACGCGCGAATGAATGAGTGTGTAAGCTGAGAATTTTTTTTTTAAGACAAATCTTGGCTCTTCAATCAGTTTATCTAGGAATGTAAAATATTTAAGCAGTTGAGTTTTATAACCTGGATCAACGGTGTTTACTATGACTTTAAAAAAAAAAAAACACAAAGATGGATGACACATTTAAATGGCTTTCTCATATGGAAACAAAAGCAAGGTTTCCAAATCTATACATTTGTGTCTGCATGTGTAAGTATCCATGTAATAACCATGCATGTATCTTTACACAGAAAAGTCACATACATGTGTTTAGGTACCCACAATGTATTCTTTTATCTAATTCTGTTTGTAAGTGTGTCCATACAATGTGTGAAATCTTAGGAAACAGAAAAGTTCATATATTTTTGCACGTGCATTTAATTGTTATATATGTTTTCCTAACGGTTCTTTTTATGCCAATTTAAAAAATGTCAGCCAGGTTGGGGTGTTTTTTTGTTTTGTTTTGTTTGATAGATTCCACAGGAACATGTGGCATCGGTGTAAGGATCTTGTTTAAGAGAATGGAGGCTTGGAGGAAAAAAAAAAAACAGATGCAGCAATTAGGCGGCTCTTGCTGCTCATTGGGGAGGTGACACAAGTGGGTGATAGTGGCTTTCACCTCTCACACTCCCTTCTCTCCTGCCTGATTCCTAGAACAATCCCTGTCAGAAACACTCTTTGAAAAAGGCTGCATTAGACAATGGCTCTTCACCCTTATTTTACGCTTTAAGTAGTGGAGCAGAATGCTGTAAGGGGCTGAAAACAAGGCGTAATCTGAGAAAGACGCGCAGGCATTGTTATAACTGTGAAAACCAGAAGAGCCCCTTTCAGAGCCGTGACTGAAAGTGCTCGGAAGACCTTTAGTCCTTTGCACTCTCCCAATCACCAATTAGACAAACATTAACATCAATTAAGCTGTTATACGGCACAGGTTCCATATAATTACCTTAATGGGTTGACGCTTTCTTTAGCAGCAATTTCTTAAACAAACTTCATCTTTTGTGCAACAGGCTAAGAAAATTTTCAGCAGGGAGCATTTCCTTTTGTCAAGTTTTCTAAAGAGACAGCTGAATTGTTCTATTTAACAACAAACACCTTCACTAAGGACCCTCGTCTTGTCCCCGTTCCCACCACATTTGACTACTAGGCTCAAAGCTTATTAACCATCAGAGACAAAAAAACGGACTGGCCAGGGGAGCCCAGACACATGCAGGGCGGGCAGTACACAAAGGACCAGTGAGTCTGGCACCGGTTTGCAAGCAGACCCTCGGAGAAAGCACCAATTGAATTAGTTGCCTATTTAGTATCCAAAGCGCCAGATCCGTCCTTACCAAAAGCACAAAGAAAATGAAATAGAAAAACAGGATCTTGCTCATAAAACAAGACAAATCTGTCTAATTTATTTTGTACCAGTAAGTGCTAATTAAATGCAAGCTACTCAGATTCTTCCTGTTCCTGCCTCACCTAATTCGCTTAGAATCACGACAATGCCAGTCTGATTTTTCCCCCTGTTTAACAAACATTCATTTGAAATGTACTCAAATACAGCTATAAAAATACAACCCTTATATCACTTCTATTTTTACTTTATATAAAGTCCATGTGTTTTTACTCTGTTGTGAAATTATTTGGTGGGGGGAGCTCTTGGCAGAAACAAGTCCTTAAACTATCCTTGTGCATCATAATGAATAAACAACTTGAGATGCATATAATGAACTATAATTGTCCCCCCCTCACAGGGTTGGAGTAATGTATGTAACCAAATTTCACAGCAATTCATTAAAAGTCAGAAGCCTGACTCTTCCATGTACAGTTTTTAAAGCAGAATGTGGTTAAAAAATAAAATTAAAAAGTATAAAATATGTACTAAATACTTATAGCAAACCAAGAAATGTTCTCTCTCTCTCTCTCTCTTCCGTTCTCTCCTTCACATCCTTACTGCTCATTTTCACATACCTGATTATAACAATAACCTTGGGAGCAGGCAATTCATTTTACATCTTTAAGGTCAGTGCTTGGGCTCCAAAGACAAGTGTTTGCTCCATTTAGTCCTGCCCTAGTGAAACCCCAACCCCTCTTTGGGTCAAAAGCTCAAGACCACAAAATTAAAAGATGATGTTGAACTTACGTTTAGATTTTGACCAAAGGCCACTGCCACCCATGGCCAGAGGACTTTACAGGGGATGAATTCCAGACACAGAAAGATATGCAATTACAAAATAATGCTTCTCAACTGTATTGCCAAAAATTCGCATTTTAAAAAATATGTATATGACTGGGGTTAATTTATCTACAGTATCAAATTGGTAACCTATATCCTGAAAAGTTTTATGATTATAAAATAAAATTATGATAACCTCACCGAAAGTTCTCCCTTAGTAAATTTATAAAGTGATGTTTTTCATTCTAGTATTTGTCTATTATTTATTAAAAATTAGTCTTTTTCACTAAATTTATACTTTATAGTTAAAAAACATAATTTGAGCGTTCCTGGATTACTAACTATCTTGGTGTCTCATGACATTACTTTAAATATAAAACTGTATTGCTCCTATTTTTTTCATTGGTTATTTCTGTCTGCTCCAGCGCAAATACAGCTACAAATTGGGAATACCACACATAAATAGTGGGAAGCCCAAGTAAAGAGCTTCCATCACTGAATTTTCTCTGATTGGAGCTCAGCCACTCATGATATAGCATGAACATATAAGATTAAATCAGGAAAGGCCTGAAGAAGAGGAGGCTGTGGGGGATATCCTTTTAACGTTTACTTTATTATTGAGGGATAATTACTCTTTCCAAAATAGATAACAAATTAGAGTCACAAAAATGATTTCTTTGTCAGCATCACGTGAGATTTGTACAAATTTATATCCTTCTTAAAACTTTTACTTCTGACAGATATAATAGGGCATAATGAGGATGAACTCATGCCAGGTGGCAAAGTCACCTCTGTAACCACAAAGAAAATGTGCATGGAATCTGAGATTCTTTTCTCTAATTTCCAGTATTAAGGATGAATCCGTGGTGTATGAATGGATTTTTCCCCCATTCAACACATCAGGCAAAGATCTGAATAAAGTTAATGTTCGCATTTTGACACCCATATCAAACTGAAAACACCTCAATCAACTGTTGGATGGATTTGGCATAATTATTGATACACTTTGCAGGATTTAAAGAGTAAGGATTCAGTGCTCACATACCACATTTGAAATGAACACAACTTATCAAGTAGAGTTCTGACATGTGTGACTCTTAGTATCATTTTGGAAGTGAAATAACCTGTCAAAATTTAAAATGTGTTAACAACTGGATAGTTAAATGGCAGGGACATAAAGAAGGGACATGGGCTTGGTTTGAGATCTTGTTCTGGAGTAGAGTCACTGACTGCCAGCCTAGAAGTAATCACAACAAAAGTTTCCCCCCAGGGGTTCTGAACAAAAATTCTATAGTAGAATAAATAAACTACTACACAGTTAGATTATCTTAACTAGCATCTGCAATCTTCCTTACAATAGCTATTTATTGATGTCTTTCCAAATGCATTAGAAGTGGCAGATGATTTATTTTGTCTTTGAAAAGTACTTATAACCATTCACTCATTCAACAAATATTTAAGTTTCCACTATGTGCCAGGCATTCTTTTCTAAGTACATTATCAAAGTCAAATAGTACAAACTGCCTAACGTTCTTTTATTGGAGATGTCTTCACTTTAAATGGGTTAAGGCAATTTATAGAGAAAGCACTTACCAAAAAATTTACTTTTCTCAGACTGTAAAATTCTTCACTTATTTAATTATGTCTGGCACCTGACACACAGTAGGTGCGTCAAATAGGATGCTCTGTTAGTTTCTCTATATTCTAACTCTAACTGTTTTTTTTGTGAATGCAAAATGATCAAGCAAAAAGGAATCCACTGACCACTGCCACTGTTCAGCTTCACTCGTCGCGTTGCCATCTATGACAATTACACTTTTTGTTTTATTTGAAAACATATTTTTCTTATTCTTTTTGTAACGTTCATTCTGAAAAGAAATGGGGGAGGCAGTGCATGTAAGGTAGGGTGGATGAGTCGTGTTGGGAGATGCGTAGTATTTATGTAGTTTTGAAATTTTTTAAATGAGTTTATGTGTGTGCTTGTGTTACACATCTGAATAAACTGGAGTCTTCCAAAAGTAGAGTTAGAAATTTTGACTCTTCAAGGAAAAAGTAACAGAATTGGTAGCAGTGAAACCTAGGCTGGATACAATTTCTCTTTTGAGAACAGAGTCAGTCAACACCCATGCTGCCGAGCATCCAGGGGACCGAACAAAGACTCTTGGTACCATTGGAAGAGATGTGGACATTTAAGATACAAGAATGATTGAAATTTTCTTCTGAAGGAATTCAGAACCTGGGGTCTGAAATATTAAGACCACAAGAAATTTGTATCATATTCCTTGACATTTTTTCTGCTTATTAGGATGTTTTTGAGGACATTTTGACCATCAGTGTATGCTGAAGTTGGTATTTGAATCCACTACGAAAAACTGATTTCTTTGATTTGCAATTCCTTAAAAATAGATAACAATCATTATATGTCGTTTATCTAGAGGAAAATAAGGCCTGAAGCAGTTATCAGAGGACCAAAAATAATTCCATGCCAAAACTCATTCTACCAAAGTTC